GAGAGATCAACAGCGCAACGCTTCCATCAGATGAAAATGAGATTACTTGCCGCAGGGCAATAGAAAGTGAGTTTCTCACTTTGAAAATAGTACCAGATAATGAGAACACAAAGAGGTATAAAGGATTTTGCATGCAGTGCTCAGTATAAGATGACAGATGGTACATGCAATTTCAAGAATAAAGAATGTGAATGATTATTTTGCACTCTAGTCAACAACGCCATTAAGCTAAAGTCTGAATTTGCTTAAGATAGGCCATCCACATGCTAAGCGGCATGACTAGCTCTTGGTAGTACGAATTTTCCATCTCCATCGTTCCTATTGGAGGTTGTGGTTGCCATAGACTGACGAACCTCGACCTGGAAGTTTCGACCGTAAATATAGCCTGAATGTTGTTAAATTCCAAACGCATTTTTTTACTCTAGTCGCAGATTATTTGTACATAAATGAGCAATTAAAACACCTCTTCCTTATTAGTAGCTCTTTTAGTAGGCCATACGGAAGCCGTTGGTGGGGGTCTGAACCAGTCCGAAAGTCGAAAAGGCTAGAATTGACCAATCGTGTAATCGCTGGTAAACGCATGAGAGAAGCAATGCCATCTCGGCACATCGCACCACCTTAGACGATGGAGTCGCCTTTGACGGAAGCATTTGATCAGGACGTCGAGAGTGATATGGACACAAGCTGAATGACGACACCGACGAGGAAGAACAGCTTCTTTCACTGGGCAGCACTTCATCTGGAAGTTAATAATTAGTTGGCTTTACAAAGTGAAAAATGTACCTCTGAGAGTGGATCCGCGATCGGAAAGCCGGTCTTGCTGTCGAAATCTGGATATCCAGTCTAGCAGAGAGTCAATGACTATTTCCTTATCTTCAACGAGACGTTTGAGGTGAATGTTCTCTTGCTTGAGTTCGATGATCTCTTGTTTCAAGTTGGTCATCTCTGCAATGAGCATTGAAGCGTCCTTTCTGGGAAATTAAATCTTCGAAAACATGTGGTTAGTAATACAGAGTTTATCGTACACACCGGTTTGCTCCCAATCTGTTGCTCGATTGCTTCGCCTCACAAATGCAGGTGAAATGGGATGACGGCTTGGAGTTTTATCCATTCTGCAAGAGAGAGTTCCGCGTGAATTAAAACCAGTGAGACAGCGCACAAGTCATTTTGTGGACACTACGCTTGAACATCAAAAATGGGCAACCAATCATGATCCACTTGGCACTCAGTATACAAAACATTAGATGATAATTAGAAGTTAGATGCTTGATCGGCTCCCAATTTCTACGGAGGAGG